CCCCAAAACCCCAAAACCCCAAAACCCCAAAACCCCTGCTCTTTGCTTATGTATTGAAGAATCGGTGAATACTAGTATAAAATAATTTAATTGGGTTTCTGATCTTTTTGGACTAGGAGACGAAGAAAGGCGAACTGAGAAATATAATAGAGGTACAGATTTGTTGGTTGCCATTGGTAATAGAGAGAAAATTTTGGAAAATTTGAGGATAATTTAGAGATGGGATTTGATATAAACTAATACAAGAACTATTATTATTAGTAATTGTCCAAGAGAGGCTGCTGATGGTCTTCTGGGTAATTTTTGTCAATCTTTTTCTTTGAAATATTTTCATATTCTCGACTAACTTCCATGTTGTACCCAGCTCTAGATTGCTTGAGCTTAAACTTATCAGGTCTGAAAGGTTTAATAACTTTCTTTTCTTTCATATATTTATCACTTACTGCGAAGTAATACTTCGCATAAAGCTTAGCAGATACAAAGAGGTCGTACCTTCAGAGGCCTAAAAACTCTTTTTCTAATTGGTTGATACCTTCTAGAGAATAATTTTGACCAACTCCGAGGAAATCCACATTCCAAAAACTGAGGTCTTCCCAAAATTTGGAGGCTAGTAGTGTTCCGGTGAAGACTAATGTCTTCCAATTGATTAATCTGACTTCAATGCCACCCATGGTCATAAGTCTTTCAATATATATCAGCATGATCAGGATACATTCTATTGCGAGTTGGAGTTCATCAAATATCGACTTAATCAAATTTTGGATATCTTCAGGGGTTCAATTTTCAATCTTGTATTCAACTCTCTCTAGTCCGTATAGGAACACAGGAAGGGTGACACTAAACCCATGAGTTGTGTGGACCTTCCATCTTTCTCTCAAGTAGATTTTCTCATCAAATAGCATCGCTCCTTGTGAGGGATAAGGAATTTTAGTTTCAGCAAACACAATATGCTGATGAAGTATCTTACTTACCTTCTGAATCATGTCATTACGGTTGTATCTGTAGAGAGTATCCTCTTGGATTTTGGCTTTTCTCTCCTTCTTTTGTTGAGCCAGGATCTTCTTTTTCATTTGTAGCATTTTCTCCCTTTCTTTTGGGTCTTGCTCATCCTCTTTATCATCGAGGAGATCGAGATCTGCTAAGTCAACACTGTTTAGGTTTAACGATGTGAAATGATGGTTCCTTTGAGGAGTATTAAAGGTATTATTTTTCAAAAGTCAACCCAGATTGTATCTTACGAGCAATTTCAGTATTCTTCCTCGTATTCTTGTTTAGTTCAAGGTCGTAAGAACAATCTGCTTCATCATTTTTACTCGTCATTGAATTTTTGTGACTTACTGAAATTCCATCTCAGACTTTTGGATAATGGTCATCTGAAGAATAGCCTATTCTTTTATCATATTTTGATTCTTCATATTTGGATGCTTTGAATAGCTTCTTTGTACTCCGTCGCTGGCTGATCTCTGCCATACTGTTTTCAATATTAGAGTCATAAAACCCTGGATCTGCATTTTGAGACGATTTTTCAGATTTATTATTGGCGTCTTTTGTGAAAGCAGAGACACTTTCAAGGTCCTTCTGCCCAAAAATTGCTGTTTCTTGTGTTTGAGGCTCATTGGTCTCATCACGTGTTCTGTATTTATTATTATTTCCTGCTGCTTTTAGGTGAGGGGATGATACCTTCAATCCCATCGCTAGGAGGAGGATTATACTGGCCAGAATTACGGCTTTGCTCTCCTCTAAACCGTTCATTAACATCATCCAATGTAATAGTAGTCAATAGGAGTTTGGATTTATGTTCAGCAATAGAGTAATGTTTGGCTTTATTTGATGTCTTTTTGTACATTGGGCTGATCCTTCCATCAGCACTTGTGTCTTCATCCTCGTTATGGTCCTGGAACCTCTCTATGAACTGCGGAAGCGAGTGGTATGACTTGTTTCTATATTCTGATGAATTATTCTGCCCCATGAATCCTTGTAGGAATATTATATCAATTTCTCATTAAAATTAGGGGTTTTGGGGTTTTGGGGTTTTGGGGTTTTGGGGTTTTGGGG